ACACATTATTTTTATGGCTTGTATGAAATACAGTGGGGGTTTTGATTATACAATATAACTAGGGGTGAGTTCGTGGGGGCGGGTAGTCGAATGGTTAGCGCGTGCGTGCTGTATCATAAGGTATGTCATTGAGTCAACTGGCGTGGTTTCGAATACCCGGTTATGCGTGACAAGGAGTGGGATCGCCTAGGCAAGTGAATTATTGAAATAAAATTGAACCATATCTCTTGCAATTGATTTTTAGAAAGATTAGTATCCACGGTACCGCTTCAACCCTTTGATTCTTTGAAGCTTAAATCCCAGATATGTTTCTTTTTTAATGGCTAATTCGACTCTGAAGGCTCGTAAAGCCCTTTATTCTAGTTCCAAGTAATTATCCGGACCTCTTTGGCAAGTTTTTGTTTTATCGAAGTCTAATTGTCTGGTTGAGTTGAAGATGAGCTTCTTGACTATCAATCACGTATCCGCGGTGTCAACTATGCATTCATTTTTTCCCAGCGAGTAATAGAATTTGAAGGTTATAACTTCTTGGTAAAGTTTACAAATGGTGTCTAATTGTCGCGTTTATAAGGCCATCCTATTTCTTCACATACCTGAATGTACTTTTCTTCCGGAGACCCAGTGGAAACCGAGACTTTCCCCCAGCTCCCACATCCCCATTCCCATTTAATGTTACCATGGCAATTCTATAAGGACGCATTCAAACATGGTCATTACCATACTGATTTATTTGACAGATTTGTTTTTTTAAAATATGCTGTACTAGACATAATCATATTTAGAATGACTCCTGAGTTTCTGAATATTGTGAAATGATATAGAATGGAGTCAGTGTTTCATGTCATCATGCAGCCACTGACATCCAACCTACCACTAATTAGAATGGCAAGTGAAAGCTTAATAATGGTATATTATTGGTAAAGTTATAATTTGTGTCAAGATGTCCACCTATATCTACACATGCAGATTGATTTTACATTTAATATTGGAATAATATAAAACTGTTGAAATAAAAAACAAAGTACACCGTGTTTCCAGACAATGTAAATACGCATTCTGATAGCTTTAAGGTCAGGCATGTAAATCAGAGTCAACATTCTCAACAAACTCTCAAAAAAAGTAACCACAAGGTGTGGATGCGATGGAAAGTGTAAGTGGATGCTCGGTGCTGAATTCTGGTAGGGTTCCTGCTTATGAATAGTCGGATTATCTTAACAGAATCGAAGGAAAGTATCTTTAAAAAAAACTATGACATGTAGGGCGTTTACAACGGGAAACAAATCAGCCAAAAATCGATACGTGACTCTCAATTGCGCCCCCCCCCCCTCCCCTCGCGACCCACGCCCACCCCCTCCTGCCATGAATAACCGAAAGATCGAATGTTTTGAAAACAATTAAGGATTTGAATTGCGTTTACAAGATTCTAGTGACAGTGACAAAAACTGCGAGTAAAATTGATGCTTCACTTTAAATGTCGATAGGGTTTCGCCATATGAATCGTGTGTTTATAAGAATTGTCAAAACAAACCCAGACGGACGCACTTACTTGGTGACGGCAATCTATTTCCTCATGACAAGTAGGCGTAATAGTATGATGATAAAAAAAAATGTCAAGCAATTTTACGTGTTTTTATCATCCCCTAGCGAAATAATCGATAATTTGTATCGGAAATTCAATAAAAGAAAAAACTATTGGAGTAGTCAGTAAATTTGTCGCCATTACAAAGAGATCCTATAAAAAAACAACAAAGACATAGTTCATTGATTAGGTTACCCGCTCGAGTACAGTTGTCAGCCATTAACGATCATTGCTGTATGTAAAAACTCAAAATTCATTTTTTTTTTTTATGAGAAACGCTGTAATGAAATCTATTAATGTGGGTGTCCATTTTGATGAATAAAAATGTAATAGGATACCATTATATGTCGTTATAATCAGTTCTGATTAACATCACAATAATGTTGAAAGGATATGACATTAAATTTCGCATTGTGTTTTAGTTGATATAATTCCCTATCTCTAATGTATAATATTGTTGATGATAATAACAACTACAGAAACAAAATACTTAACTAACAGCTGAAATTGTGGAATCACGGTAGCCCTTCATTCAATAAGGCACTGGTTCACTAACCAGGGGATCGATCCAGGGTTCGAACCTCGAGAAGGTTCCCCGGTATTTTCCCGTGTGCATGTTGACGTGCACGTAAAAGAGCCCATGGAAGATGGAATTCGAGTAGGCCGTAGAGCCACTATCCGGGAAAATATTCCTCGTAGCACGCTGCACTGTGTATGACCGTCTTCGTTAGCTCTATTGGTAAAAAACAGTAATACGGTAAACCCCACTTTATTTCAAATGAAATTGTAATCATAAACTGGTTTATGTTTACATTAACGAGACGACGTAGACCGTGAAACATGAATCATTTCTGATAATTACTTCTAGAGATACCTAAAGGATTACAGTCCTATATATTTCTGGACTTAGCTGCAGTAGGCTTTTGTTTCGTTGAATGGCAAACATTCTTTGTAAAGGCAGACATCGCTGCATGTTTTTCTTCAATCTGATTAAAATGGCAATCTATCGTTCCGTTTTTATACTTTCGATGACCCTATGACGTCGATTAACCAATCAGCATTGATTTTTCTAGTGGATTACCCACATTTCCGTGCACCTCACACCAAACGCTCGCCAAAACAGACCGTTTCAGTGGCTAATCCCTCACATCATCCAGAACACGTCAATGATAACAACTCTTCCAGATCCTAGTGTAGTAAAGACAAGTAAAATGAAATAGGATCTGTGTTTTAATCAGATTGGTTTTTCTTCCAAAACTGCAAAATCAGTAACTTTTATCTTGTTAATAAAATCATATGTATGAACATCTAATCAATGTTATCTGACCTGTGTATATAATATGATAGCCATAACTATAAAATCAATGGAGGCCTATTGTCCATATTTCACAATAAATATTAATTATTTATCCATTAATTATATTTGTATTATTTTGATCATGTATAATGTATATTTATTATTGCAATGGAATCGATACCATTATTTCCAGGACACGTATGTTACCCGCTGTTCCAATGTGGGCCTTAACAAAATAAACAATCGACTTATCGCTTGATGTATGCTTTATTTCGTTTTCACGCATAAATTATTATTCTACGCGGATCTATATTATGATTTTATTATGAATTATAAACGGACCTATACTATTCTAGTAATTAACTATTTTTTTTAGTAGGCCTGTTTGTAGTGTGACACGTGTTTGACGTCAGCTTCAAGTTTCTAGTATGCCATTATTGGCACTTAAGGGTTTAGAATTGTCATTGAATTAGCCATTAAAGGCTTAAGTTTCTTGTTATCAACACAAATGTATTCAGTGTACTAAAAAAGTAAAGCCTCGGTCCTAGTTAACACTTGAAGCCAAACCTCAAACCTAGTTCCGGTTCCCTGAATTAATTTCTGACCAGGTTTAATTTAAGCATGAATTTCTTTGATAAAAGCCATACGCACACGCTTTGCGAGAAAACATCCACCTTTCAGGCATTACCGTTGCGAGCGGTTGAGAAGTGGGGTCGAGTGAATGCACTAGAGGCTACAGTTAATATCCGATTGACTTTAAATTTATACACAGTGTTTAGGGTCTAGAGACAAGGAAACCCATTCATTGATTTCCGATAATTACTGCCAGAGGTATGGTTTAATGATCACTTTGAAAACTAGTGGACGCTCAAGATGCTATAGTTAATATACGATTGCCATTAAATTTACACACGGTATTTAAGGTCATGAGACGAAGAGATCTATTGATTTTCAACGATTCCGGTGTTTTATATACTAAACGTCAGTAACGGGCAGAACTAGACGCCAAACAAATTATAATGATTTCTGATAATTACTTAATGAGTTGTTACTCCTGATCAGATTTTAGTGTGATGTAAATGTTTTCATTAATGACAAAAGAAAACATATGCGACAACCCTTAGCTGCCGTGGGCGTATGTTTCGTTACCTGGCAACCTATCATTAAGAATGCACAGAGAATGATAACCTTCTTAACCAACGTCTCTCGCGATCTGTTGTGATTTATCTTGAATTAAGCATCACAGATTCAGTTCAGTTTTCACACAAACTTTCGAACCATGCACGTATTCTATTGATAGGGTGGCCCATGTGCTCTACAGAAATAAAGTCCACCGCTGATAGTTCGAGACTACCACTGAAGCGTACACATTCGCCGTGCCGAGACCAACTTTCTGACAGTATGATACTATAAATAGCCATGGCACGTGCAATTCTCTACAAATCTATCAACTATTACAGCCGTAAAAAATTTATTGTTGACGATTTTGAATAGCAGTGAAATTAAGCTTCTTGGTTATTACAGCAGATTTAGAAATTACGTTCGTTTCATTTTTTAAATCGCTTTATCATTAACTGTACCGTTAAGAGCGGCATCTTTTGGTTTAGTACAAATAATATCTCTGAATCACTCGGATTAGACAGGAACATGATACTTGCAGTAGTTTCATTTTACTTTTACAAGGTTCTTAAAACGATTGTTGAGCTACCTAACGTGCTTATTTCTAAATTCAATTTCTTGTTCTAGCTTTCTGTTATGTTTCGTAAAAAAGTAGTCTTGATTATCCCGACCTGTCAATCAGACGTAGAATGGTCGATAGACTGGTTAAGCGAGACTAATTTCAAAACAAGGGCACGTAACCTATCTTTTACTCAAAAGTGTCTGGATGTAATGGACGACACTTGGAACCAGTTTTCAGTCTATTATTTATAGATGATTAATGGTCATAGCTTATTAAGTACAACATGATCGTTTATTTAGTGATTATAATTGTGTGAAACTGATTTGAGGCTTGGCATATATATAAATATTGTGGCGTAATTGTCGAGATATAAGGAGATATATGGAGATATTTATTTATGGTGGGTCACCCTACTATTGATCTCTATATAATTTTTATTACAGGAAAAGGCAGATATAGGTGAACTTATGTTGTCATTATGTTACCTCCCTACAGCGGGTCGGTTAACCTTAACGGTTGTTAAAGCCAGAAATCTGAAACCAATGGATATTACTGGTTTTGCTGGTACGTATTACATTATTGATATATTCAAATATTGACAATAACAAATTAACAAGTAATCAATACTGTTTGTTTTTTGACTGTGTATGCTGTCATGTTATCACCATATGTCATTCTTCAAGTAATAGAATATGCATTGAACGATTCAAAAGATGCAACTTGGCTTAACGACAGTTTCCTCTTTTATGCTGCAATCTAGAGAGCGAACAATAGCGTTGTCTTGACTAACCTAATTGGCATGTGTCCAATCTATGCGACCTGACCGTGATCCGAAACTGTGAAAATATAAATCCTACGTGTAAAGGAAATTTCTGTCCACCGAATTGATTAGCTATCTCTTATATCACTTTTACAGATCCGTATATCAAGGTGTCGATGATGTGTCAGGGGAAGAGAATTAAGAAGAAAAAGACGTCAGTTCAGAAGAATACCTTACACCCAGTATTTAATGAAGCGCTGGTATTTGATGTTCCACAAGAAAATGTAGAAGATGTTTATTTTATTATAAAAGTTGTAGATTATGATAGGTAAGATGACGTCATTACTATAGAAAAATAAATGAAATGAAATAGGGTTTAACGTCCTACTTTTCTGCTCCATCCGGGATAATGAAGACGGGCATACGTCATATACAGTGTGCTATGAGGGAAATTGCGTCCAGACAGCCCAACTACGGCCTATTCTTATTACGAAATCCAATACGGGCACACCTCCGTTCTGAATCACTGACATGGGGAAACCATACCGGAACATCCCGAAGAACTTTCTCGGCCAACACCGGGACCCCCGTGTACTATGAAAGTTTTAAAGTATGATAGATAAGATGACGTCAGTACTATCCAAAAACTGCAAAAGGGTTAAAATAATTAACGTTCACGTGCAATAAAAAATTCATCTAGAAAACCCATTTGACATTTACGGCTAGATCGAACTTATATGTGGAGGTAATCAACATCTATCTGAACCATGCCTTGTCCGTTTTTAATTAGTTTTGACGTCTATTACAACCGATAGGGGTGTTTTTAGCCCTGAGCTTAGACACTCATAAAAGTTATTTTAGACTATTCCGACATTGGAATTGTAAAGAAACTATTTCCGTGAATATTCTGAATAGGATGGTGTTTTATTTTCTATATTTTTCTGTATTGCTCTACTTGCCTAACAGTAACCTAACAGTTTCTATACAATATTGATGGCGCTGTTATTCTAGCGGTATATAAGCTGATTATTATTATTATATATACATAATAGTAATCGTGTCAGTACATATCTATCTGTGGTTATTGAAATTATTTCTACTGTGTTATCTGACATAAATAAATGATTCAAGTCACGCATACACAAAGTTCCTGTATTTTTTATCTCTGTTAAACATTGCATGACACGGTGTTTTGTTTTTTTCTCTCAATTGAAAAAAAGCACAAAGACTTAATCATTTTAGCAACTATTTCGATATAAGCCGTCCTACAGAATTTTAAACATACATTATGCAAAAGTTGAATCTACCTGTTGTAAGTCTTTATTTAGGCTTCAGGTGTTATAGAAATTATTAATTAGACCTTTATTTACATGACAAGTTCAAAATCAAAATCAACTCCGTAGATCCTCGGATGGCTTGGATACAGCTTGGATTTAAACAGTCGTCCATTTAAAATTAAATCAATAAATGGCCGACCAAGCTAACTTTTACCGTTAGTCACTGACGTCACTACCGGACACTACCGATGAAAGGCCTACCAAGCGAGGATACCATATCCATTGAGAATGTTACTTGATAATCGAGAATATGCGGGTGGAGTTATCGTCTGTCAATAAAACGATCGGCAATTCTCGTAGATGGTGCGGACAAAGTTGATGCCTATTTCTAGTCCAAACTTCCAATAGTGACAACTCCGTTCAGAATAAAGTAATTTGACTGACATTTTTGTATTATTATAGCAAGAATGATCAACTCTTTATTAAACTTTTAACTAATGTATCTTTAAATATGGTGTTTTAAAGTACTGATAGTGACATCAGAAGAAATGAAAATTGGGAAATTATTTTGCGATGAACTTGAAAACAAGAGAGATAGAGACATTTTGAAACTAGCGAATATACGAGCACACGCCATACAGTGTGTTATGAGGGAAAATTTGCACGGGCAGCGGGGCTAAAATTCAGCCAGTGAACAAACAGTCTTCTCTTGGATTAACTTTAATCAGTCCGTTAGCTAACGGATAATGAAATTGACTTTCCAGCAACAGAAATTTAACGGACCGTTAACAAACGACACGTCAACGATAACGATCCGTTATAAAACACAAATTTATATGGAAAACAATCACTGGGTTTATTTCACACTACACTGTAACAAAAATTTCCGTGAAAAAACGTAAAAAATTCCGGAAACAAAAATTACCAGGAAAATTTTATCCGCATTTGTTTCTCTTGTAATTTACAGAAATTCCCTCAATTAACATAAATTCCATTTTCAAATACAGAAAAAAAAATCCTGGTTAATTTTGTTTCCTGACCATGAAGATGATAAAAATTTCATTGAATTAACCATTGACTTAATACGCGTGCGTGAAATAGCTTTATTTAATGTCTGCTTCTACCGAAGTGATATCGCGGATAATCTTTAAACGTAACCTCTTTTCGCTAATATAAGAATTGAGAGCAAGGTATCTCAAACCGCTACTCTTCGGTGGTTGGGGGCTTTCAGATGTAAGTTTGCAGTATCACCAATTCGCAGGTGTGTAGACTCTGCCGTAGAGACAAACCGACTTACACTGGCCAACCGGTTGTACTATCCGGACTTAAGCGTGCTTGATTACCAGATATCACAACCTTAACACACGCGGCATTAAAACATATTTTTACATATTTATGAAAATACTTACAATCTGATTACTGTATGATGAATAACAATACTCTTTATAGATCTTATAAATAATGGAAATTAGATATACATGTCAATTAATATACCAAACGTTACAAAATATGATTCTTCATATTATGGTTAATAAATTGAAATGAATACTATAACATGATGATTATTAGGAACCATTATATATGTATACAATTACTTATCGTTGCACAGTTTATCCCGTAAAATAACAGAATTAAGTCCATTACAGAACGCAATAAAACATTTTATCCCTAAATTTCACGGAACTTCCTTGTCATTCTACCGTTTATTCCGTAAACTAACAGAATTAAGTCCATTTTAGAAGGGAATAAAACATTTTATCCCTAAATTTCACGGAAATTTCCTGTTTAATACTGAATATTCCACAGAAATACATAAAACACGTAATTTGAAGAAATAATTCACACTATTAACACAATTTCTCAAAAAAATCCATCAATTAACAGAAAAAAAGTGTTAAATTACGGAATTCGGCCACATAAAAAATGGATATTTTTTACAGTGTACGTTTCAACAAGTTCCTCTTTTCGTTCTCAAGTAAGTAATGACAATATAATAGCAAGAAATCAAATTATCTATATTACTTACTTGAGAACAAGAGGAACTTGTTGAAACGTAGTGTGAAATAAACTCAGTGATTGTTTTTCATATAAATTTGTGTTTTATATCATATGTTCAGTTACTAAATGCCGTATAAGGATTTTAAAATAACTTAGTTTTGAGGAACCGGACCCAGATGCATTTCCTTTAGGGTGCAATGTTTTAATAAATCGCAGTGAGGGGGTCACCCGCTTGTGCAGCAGTTTACGTTAACACTAATGGTTCAACTCTATACATGACTTGTTGGCATCGATTATGCTTTAAAGGCAGATAAGAAACCGTGTATAACAGTTACAGAGTTTCGTCTCACAACGACTCAAAACTCGGGCAGTTGGGGAAATATGGTCATTAGCATTCTTTTAAGTTTAACCCAGACAGTGCATCATTATCAATAATTCAAATCATGAACAATTCCTTCCCCAGACAGTGGATTATTCTAACAAGAATAGAAATCACCCACAGTTGTTCAGATGCGGTCTTCTTCAATGATATTGAAAAATGTGATATTTGTTGTCTCATTTAAAACATAAAAGATAACATAGTTAACATTTCCCAACAATGGGGGATCACGTGGGTAAGTCAGCCTAAGTGGGTGTTCGATCCCTGCATTGGCCGAGAAAGTTCATCCCGATTTTCCAGCGTGGTTTCCACTTGTAAGTGATGTAGGACGGAGGGCCTGATAAGGACAGCTGTCTAGTCGTGCAGATGGGACGAAAAACAGAGGTCCCGTGTACACATTGGCGTGCACGTAAAAGATCCCTTGGCAGTTGGAATTCGATATAAGAGTAGGACGTAGTGCCGCTGTCCGGGCAAAATTTCTCTCATAGCACACTGTATGGCGTATGCCCGTCTTCATTAGCCCAGTTTAGGAGCAGAACAGTAGGACGTTAAACCCCATTTCATTTCATTTCATTTACTAACAACTAAGTTTTGCATTCAAGTCGCTAGGAGAGTCACATGAAGCTATATGGTACAATACACTCAACAAAGTATGACGTCGCTGCCCTTCTGGTTTAATAATGTAGGATTAGTTTTAGATGTAGGATTAGTTTTAGACATAGACCCATCCATAAGGTTTGACCAGAAGGGCAGAGCCATTTAGAGAGGACATTAAACCAAAATATTTATTTCGATTACAAAACTCCACATTGTCTTAATGGGCATTAACACTGGTTACAGTTACACCAGACAAGTTCAAAGTAGATCCTATTGAAATTGGGTGACAAATCGACTAAGCCTTGACTGAGATATTCACGTTCTGACTGTCAATTTACGAGTTCTATAAATTGTATTAGTAGTTGTCAGTGGGCTTAAGGGTCGTTCGCCAATAATACCCGATACTTCCTATTAGATGCAATCTGATAAAATAAATACAGATCAAAATTTCGTTTCGTTTTTTATTTTTTATACTTTCGATAGCGTCAACAACATGAAAATCTGATCATTTGTAGTGGGGGGGGGGTCGCGTCAGAGGTCATATGAGCGGCTTTGACCCTATGACGTCAGATTTTTTATTTACTAATCAGCGTTGATGTTTCTACTGAAATACCCACAGTTCCGTGTACCGCACGCCAAAAACTCGCCGTAACAGACCGTTTCATTAGCTAACTCCTCACATCAACCAGAACGGGAGTTATATAACAACTCTTTCAGATCCTAGTGTAGTAAAGACATTTTGAACTATAAAAAAAACGAAACGAAATAGGATCTGTCTTTTAATCAGATTGTATTAGATGAATCTAAGGTTATTTTCAGTAGGATATTATTCAAAATTAACTTCATTCATTTATTTATTTTTTTGTTGTTGTTGTTGAGACTGATATTACCCCTTTATTACAAATGGTAAATTAAAACATTGCGTAACATATTATTATATACTAGTTTAAACATTTCAGCAATATTTTATTTTTGATTAAAAGGAGATTTTTTTTATAATATACATGATATGTTTAATGCCAAGATTAAAGAGAAAGAGAGATAGCACGCTGTTTCATCTCGTTGTAATGAGTTTTACTGATTATACGTCCATTGATTATAATAGAATCTAGATACAAAAAAGTGGGAGAAAGTAGTTATTGTCTTTCATCTGTTTTTATGGCTTCTTTTTATACGCTCAAGTATATGTCGCCACGGCCGTCCTTCGGAATTACGCGGAGTTATTGTCTCTGTCTCCGAAACTGTGACCCTAAACCAGCAACTGGAGAAAATGTATTTATTACTAAAAAAAACATCAAATATTTCCAGATCCCTTAAGGGAAACCCTTTTTTTACAATCTACAAATTTTAACGTTTATGGCGAATATGTGGGAGCTAATGTATGGACACACCCGCTCTGATATAGCTACGTCAGAGTCAGTGGTTTATACTCCATAATAATTTATTTATTTATTTTAAGCTTAGTTGACAATTTAAGTCCATGTTCTGATTTTCCATGGTCATGAAATATATAATGCTATCAGATAAAAATAATTTTAGAAGGTCGATCAGATGACCCATTTTTTTTATGCTGGAACATATCTTTAACAAACACTAAGAGGTGAAAGATCAATGTACCGTAGACTTAAAGGATTTGGGTAGAAATATCGCATTATATTGGGGGTGATCTGATGTGTTATTTCGAGAAGTGGTGGGATACTTGGTTGGGAAGATTAAGCAATCCGGATCCCAGTGGATAATCTTACTTGTCAAGTCTCTCTCATCATCACTACACCGAAGGACCTCGTATCTATCCAGGATGTAGTATTGTCGACATGATTTCGTTGTGGGTGGAGATGTAACTTTCATTTTCTTCAAGCAGCAAGAAAAGATCTTCTTGGGCGAAAATCACATTACAGGTCTCTGTCATTATCCAGGAGATTAACACTCTTATAAAACAGTACATGGTCTTCGTGGGGTCACGGGTCAGAACGAGTGGTCAAAAAGCAAACTTTTGTGGTCACTGCAAATACATGTGCCCCAAAACAGCTTATTTATTTTGTTTATTCTGTACGTTGCCAAAGTGAAATAGTCCTTATACAGATTGGCAGAATACAACTCTATTCAACTGACGCATGCTTTGTGTAACAGGGAGCTGGCCCCGAGTTCACAAATTATTCTCAGACTTAACTTAAGATTTTACTCAAAATTGTTCCACTTATTTTGACTAAAATATATCCCATTATAAAACTTTTGTTGTTTTAATCTATGAAATACATCAATAAGAAACTATGTTCAAAGGTTTGTGTTTCTGGATCAAAGATATTTCTCATAAACAGTGATTGAAAGTGGAGTAAATTCTTAACTTAAGTCTGCGATTGCTTTGTGAACTTGGGGCCTGGTTTCTCAAAAGTGAAACATGTAACTCTTTAAATAGCGAAGAAAACAATATATGTTCATCTGTTTCAGGATTGGTAGTGACGAGTTTATGGGCAGTGTTGCTCTGGGTCCAAAACATAATGGTCTAGGGCGTGACCATTGGTATGAAATGTTGGAGAACCCTAGAAAACCCGTCGCACAATGGTATCAACTTCAAGAACATTCATCATTCCCTATGCCTATAACGCCTAATGGTAAATGTTGCTTAAGACACCGACAGTCAACCGAAGACTCCAGTGACTTCAATGGCATACATTGATAACGTTATTTTCTATTTTTCTATGATAATTATATAAATATATTGTATGGTTGTGTTGCACGTCAGCATTTGATGTTTGATGCCTTTTTACTATATAGTTAAAATGTCTCTGGTCTAGCAATCCCCCATATCCCCTCCAAAATATTTTATACATTAAATATTACATTATCATTACATTGTAAAGTTCACATTAAGATATCATAATAGTTAAAATATTTCAGATTTTCAAGTTATATGTCTGGTGTGTAAAATGTGTTAATCGGACGTTCACACCGGTTTATATACCGCCATTTCATTCGGTTTTATCCTTTGGTTGTTTACTCCCTTTTAACTTGATCTAAACATAATTACAACTTCTGACACTGCCACACCAGATAACAATTTGAGCTTTTAACACACCATGTGATAAAGTAAGATTCGCCGTGGAACAGTTTGAGGTAGGTTGTGATTGGACTATCTTTCAATCAAAGGCCGTGACACGGAAAAATTCCGCGAAATCTGTTGAAAGACATCAATTATACAGAGATTTCAGTGACTGCTTGCCTACTGTCAAATGTATTTATAAGGAGTGACCAACAGACAGACTAAACGGAACAAAACATCTAATTTTAGTTAGACTGCGTTCCGTTTCCTTCTATTCGTTCCTGTTTCCCATAATGACCATTTCTACAGATGAAACATTGGTTACATAACAACGGTTGCTGACTTTTATACACCCATATTGAAATGTGGTTATATATTGTCGTCATCCCCGTCCGTCGGTCCGTCGTTGACAATTGTCTGTGGGCGCTGTAGAGGCTAAAATTGACATTCCATTTTAAGGCCATGAGACGAAGAATCCTGTGGATTTTCAACGATTTTCGATAATTACTGCAAGGGTTATGGCCCTTGACCCTTTCGAAACTATTGTGGGCGCTATAAAGACCAAAATTATAAAATATACACGTTTATACATCATTAAAAAATTTCCGATAACTTGAACAGCTAAATTCGTCATTCGTCATATTACACATTACACGTTAACGTCGGGAAATAGAGGCCAAACATGATTTTTGATAATTAATTAATGGCGTGTTGCCGTTGATCAGTGTTTGGTGTTTTGTAAATGATTACATTGCCGTCAAAAGAAGAAAAAAATATAAGATAAACCGTGTTGACTGTTCGGCTGCTGTGGGAGTAGATATGTTTCCTTGTCTGGCTATCTTTCTTTTATTTTGGATACATCCACACGTGGGTTTGTTTAAGAGGAAAGGGTCGCCAGATATAGCTTATTGTTTGTATTTGCTGATATAGAGCCTATTGCTACATTCATGCTTTTTTTCACATTTTCAACTTATTTTTTTATACATCTATTTTTTTAATAATGATGTGTATGTATCATTATTTAATATTTCTCATTGTTGTGTTTGAGTCGTTAACCAGCATTAAGTAATTTTCTAATCATATGGGTGGGGGGGAATGGCCGAATGGTTAGCACGTGCGCGTTGTAACATAAGGTCTGTCATTGAGTCAGCTGGCTTGGTTTCGATTCCCCGGCTGTACGTGGCAAGGAGTAGGGTCGCCTGTCCAACTTCGTAGGTTTTCTCCGGGTCCTCCGGTTTCCTCCTGCTGCTGAAGACCCCTACGCGCCAGCGAATTATTGACATAAAATTAAACCATGTGTTTATCCCGAAATGACCTAGTTTGTGTTGAGTGGACGTTAAACTCCATTTCCCTCTCTCTCTCTCTCTCTCTCTCTCTCTCTCTCTCCCTCCCTACGAGCAAGTGAATTATTGAAATAACATTGAACCATATGTTAGTCCTGAAATGATCTAGTTTGTGTCAAGTGGACGTTAAACCCCATTTTTCTCTTTCTATATTTATATAAAATCATATGAATTTCATAAATTAAAAAAGGAAAATTATAGATTGACATCAATTATGTAGACAGTAATACAAGCCCATGAGAAAAATCTTATACGCTTACATGTTACTTCTACAAAGTTTAGTTCATGATCAAAATATTATAATACTAGAAGAATGCCCGGCTTCGCTCGAGGGTCGTAACCCCGAAACCGGAAGTGGTAGACTAACGTCACCTGGCCTATGTTACTCCCCTGTCCGAGCTACCCCTATACCCCAAATTTCAGACTCGGGGCAGACCTAGTGTAGCCGCCAACCCCGAACAGACAGACAGACAAACGACAGTCACAAATATTAGCATAGATTTATTTGCCCACTAGTGAAGGTGGTAGTTAAATCTGCTAATTAGTGTCGGGTGAAGATGATCCCTGTCGATCTTTAGCATTTTCCAGGGTTATTGTCCCTTACTGGGTGATTATTGATCAAAGTATATAACGAAGCGGGTACTAACTCCAGAGAATACAGTTCTCAACCAATTTGCAATGTGGGGTAAAGATAACCTATGCATTTTAGCGTTTTTGCAAAGACAGTGCCAGAGTAAATTATCCCAGACATTCCGTGGGCCTACCAAATTTCGCTAATCACTCCATAATTCAGAATTTTTGAGATGACACTTTACATTCATTATTTACCGAGTTATTGCTCTTGTCAAAGAAACCTTGTAATCTACAGGTCGGGTGGGGTTTTTTTCTTCTTTTTTTTCAAACTTGCTGGGATTGTTTATCGGGTCATAAGTTAGACTCACTGAAATGCATAGTAATGCGTCATTCATTGTCGAGGTTACTGAACTTGTCATCAAAACCTTGTCATCGTTCTACATGTCAAAATTTTAAGCGGGATTTTACTGTATAAACTTTTTACCAGTGTCAGATACTCAGTAGGTTGTCTTGGATAGTGAGCCGAACTGCGCATTTGATAGTATTAAAATCAAATTCTGTCTTGACTCAGATTGCGATCGCTTGTGTTGTCGATGGTTATTTACGTCAATGTCAGAATCTACACCTCTCTCCGTGTCTGATTGTCTTCCGCTAAAACAATCTCAGAATTAGATAACGATTAGAGATTAATCGTAACCTCAGTATTTAGGTTTAAGGTTCAAGCTGCGTTTAACTATATTTATTGGGACACAAGAAGTGCCTGGAAGCTTCTTTGGGCTAGAATTAGGGTTAGGTCATAAATGCTTCAGAAGTATTTACGAGACAATTTATACTTTATTCGTAAACACTTTGGTTAAGAATAACGTCGTCATTAAAGAAAAGTATTGGATAAATAAAGTCCAAGTAAATTAGTCCCATGTATTATATATTTAAAATTAATTCCCAGCAAAGAATAAAAGAGCTACATTGTTAAAGCTAATATACTTCTTTATGGTGTCCATTATCATCTAAAAATATGTGTATATATATATATGCCTAATCTACTTCTTTATGGTGTACATTTTCCTGTGATTTTTATGATTATTATACTGTTTTAATATTATTATAAAATATCTATTTTATGTAAGAAAATTGTAACAACGTGTATATTTATTAATATGGATGTCATCTTTACTTTAAGCTTCCATAATAAAATTATAAGTGTTGGAAAATATGATACTATGGAGTTTTTATCCATTATTATTTTTAATGCAAACCTTCTTACTTTTGAAAATACCCAAATAACCAACATATTTCCGGAGAAGTGGTAACGCATTATTATTAACCATTGCCAAACTTGATAGAAAGTTCGAGCGATTGTTTTCAGTGGCCTACTAGGTTCGCTTGCAGACGAATAAAAACGGCTGGTATTAAAGATACATTATGGGAGATTCGATAACGAGCTGGCAGTTCTCACTATAATAGTTAAAAACTAGATATTGTAAAGGCAATTTGCTGAAAATTTCAAATTGATGCACTATGAACCGAGAACTAAGCGGTTGAAATTTCCGGCTAGCCTTGATCATCATTACTAAAGTCATTACGATGAACACCATAGTCTCGATTATCCATGTAATCGTTAAATCGTGAAGGAAAGTTATGCAGTAAATCGGCTCATAATCCACTAAAGACCGCAGGCTAGCGATGCCATCTGGAGTTGATTATGGTCTGGATAGGTTAATTAATGTCTAATTAATAATTTAGATAACATTTCAGGCCTAAAGAAAGACCTGTAATAGACAGATTTAGCTCTTGCATAATGTATGATTAAACCTATTTATATATCACGGGAGTCATGGTGACTCAGTGAGTAAGACGTTGGCTCGCTATAATGGGGGTTCCGTGTTCGATCCCTGCGTTGGCCGAGAATGTTTGTCGGAATTTTACGGCGTGCCCCCCCCCCCCCTTGGTGAAGCACCTGACAAGGGACAACTTATAGTCGTTCGGATGGGACGAAAAACAGCGGGCAAGTGCACGTAAAAGATTCATTGGCAGTTGGAATTCGATATAAGTGTAGCCGTGGTGTCGCTGTCCGGGCAAAATTTCCCTCATGGCACACTCGTCTTCATTAGCCCAGTCGGAGCAAAACAGCAGGACGCTAATTAACCACATTTCATTTCATTTTTCGTTATACATCACTAAAACATGTATCGACCACGTTAATTTCAATCCGTGTGGTACTTGTGTAACCAGAGAGACTGCTATAGTTGCATTCTCGCTCGGCATGACTGTATCAAATTACAAAAATAAGTCTGTTCTATGTTTATCCTTCATCGACGCATAGGACGCGGTCCCGGGAGTATGTAACCAGGGGCGAATACAGAAAATCTCTGAATGTTGCCGCACACAGCGACGCGCGCCACCTGCGAGTTACGGGGTTTTACATAGGTTAAGCCTGTTCCCCATCCCATGATGGGATTTTAGGTGTATATATTTTACTTGCAGACCTGTCTAATTATTTCATTGACTAACTGAAGGAAGGAATATGGCCGGTTGTGCCCCCACCCCACCCATAGTAACTAATCAGAGACAGCACTTTAAACAGTAAATGTAGCTGCAGCAAATAACCAACTGTTAATGCTAGTAACTATTGCTTCGTGTATATGAAATTAGCTGTCTTAAGGAAACGGTCTCTCTGGGCAATGATTCTGTTTATTTTGTGTACGCCAACATGTAATATCGACTTATATTAAAATCACCCACTTGCTTCCGGCTTCTGTCGATTCCATCGCAAGTTATAGTGGACCTTCTGCCTTTGCTGGGAATTTGGATATAAAGAATTTTCTGATGGAATATTTCCAGTACAAATTCTGTGTTTTTGATTGTTTATATTTTGATTTTAAATCTTGCGGATGTGATTCAGACAAGTGTGGTATTTATATGTATATTTTATCAATATATTTATTGATTTATTTATGTATTTATCTTTCTGTGATCTTGGTTTGATTGTTCACTGGAACCAAGACAAAGGTCTATTATGTTCATAATCATAAAAGGAGAAAATAAGTCAATAATTACTGAAAAGTAGAAAACACAATATACCACCTCTCTTTAAACATGCATTATGCAAGAGATAAATCTGTCAACTGAAGGTCTTTCTTAAGTCCTGAAATGTTATCTAAATTATTAATTAGACATTAACTAACTTATCCAGACCATAATCAACTCTCGATGTCATCGCTAGCCTGCTATATTTACTGGACTAGAATCATATCTGCTGCACAACGCTCATTGATAGTTAAATAAAAACTGGATAACCGAGACTATGTTTTTTATCGTACTGACTTTAGTAATCATGATCGAGAGACCAAAAATTCAATCGCTAAATTCTCGGTTCAGAGTGGATCATTTGGACTGAAATTTTCAGCGAATTCCCATTACATTATCTAGTTTTTAACTATTATAGTGAGAACAGCCATCTCTTTATCTAATCCCCCATAAAGTATTCCCAATATCAAATCATTTCGACCACCACCACAAAAAATACAACTTATTGATGTATTGGCATAACGGTTTTTCTTTTCTTTTCTTTTGTTGTTGTTTTTTTCTGGTGTTTTTTTTTTTGTTGGGATGGGGGTGGGGGTATGGTAGATGGAACATTGATAGGATCAAAGGTGGAATCTTGACATTGACACTACATTTCTGTCAACCAGTGACATTTATTAAAACATGATAGAATGTCTAACTGGTGAATTTTATTTCCTACCTTTCGGTAATTATTGACCGAGTGAGAAACGGTTCAATCAGACGAGTTATTTACCCCCGAATTTGATTTTCTGGCTTACATTATTCAGAACTTAACACCTAGCCCCAGCTTCTGTCTTGAATAGCCCAGTCTGTGCATAACAGTAGGATGTTAAAACCCATTTCATTTGGCCCCAGCTTAAAGGAGCTAAATCGCTAATATTTGGGAACTAGAAATTGACACAAATGGGTCGCAACGTTTATACTCTAATTTCAAATCACTTATGTTCCCCGAAATACGCCAGACGTCTCAATCGAATGGCAATCTCTAGCGCTTGGTTATTCCAGAATACACCGATAGTATTTATTGCGCATGCTCTACTGATAAGATTATGCCGTCACTCTAATTTCAGATGTCACCGTTTGACATGACTTGTGGAATATGCCTAGCCTCGTTCATTGAGTCCCTTGTTACAAATGGCTCTGAAACGCATTAGGCCTATGGTACACGAAAATGTATATTTTGTCTTAAATATTGGATTTCAGAAGCCCACCTTTTCCCGGTAAGATCACAACAACAATGTTGATTTCAATTGACAAATAATTCGTGTTTTCAATGTCGAAGACTTTGGATGATATTGAGTTAGAGACTTAGCTACTTTAATTTGTGAAAGTGGTTTTCAATGTTACACCCGCCTGTGTTTCAGATGGGATGAAAGAACAGGGTCCGTCCTAGAAATGGTTCCACAACTGATGTCTTCCGCCTTACTCCAGCCACAGTAGTGGACCGTCCTACAGAGGCGTAGCCGCGAAATATATATTGGGGGGGGGGGGGGGTCCGCAACCCTAACCCCTAACCCTAACCCTTTTTTAAAACCCCTAAAAAAATATAAAGAAACACCATGTGGCCATGCTGTCTACACATCTCGTTTGCTGATTGGCCCAGTCACCGCGTGCAAAGCATTATGGTTACGTGGCTGTCAGGCTAACTAGACACAATTTTATGGAACACAGTTACTTTTCACTTAAAACACGTTTCCAGGACGATTCTCTCTGTGTTTTATTTTAGCAATGTAAACCATATTGGGATATGTACAGGTTTTATACAGATAAGATCTTAACTAATCCTAATAATTGTTGTAAATAAATAGGAGTTAGGGCCTACTATGTAAGTTTTTTGGGGGGTCCAAGTATATTCAGACCCCCCCTCCCCCAGAAAAATAATTGGGGGGGGGGGTCGTCCCTCCCAACCCCCCCGGACCCCACCATGTGTGACGCCCATGCCGTCCTACAGAGTTCCTTTGCGCAAGTTTTTTAGTGAAATCACTACAAAAAAGTTACTGGCCTATAGCTCCCTTAATTTACACCTAAACTGGCCCTAAACAGTACTGCACCTAGCTTAACATATAATAAACCAATTCCTATTGAAATAAAGGTGAAGCCTTACCGCATAATTATATGATTTGATGAAACCCAACTGCTACGCGAAATTTAAACTGGCTGGCGTCATCATGGTGGCTTGTGTGTAATACGTCATTACAAGAAACATCGCTATGCAAATGTAGAACGCATAACCACAAAGAAAAACTGTCCGGTAACTATTTTAGTGGTCCAGTCTTCACTATTTGTCATAGAATTACTTATTCCAATACAAACTGTAATGATATGTGTTGACAGTTTGTGCGTTTGAACCTATTTGAACTTGCATAAGGATTCTTAGACTGTATCAATTGTAACGTTAAACACACAGTTTAACGTTACAAGTATAGTAACTAGGTCCGTCCGTGTACCCAATGGCGTACACGTAAAAGAACCCTTGGTGATTGATAATCAAAGAATTATAGGCGGAAACGCCATGCTAATGTGTTCAGAAAACGTTAAACCACACCCCATTCCACAGTTTGTTCTATTGACCTCCAGATTTTCTGAGTATATCAAATTTTAAGTTGTTCAAGGGGGGTAACTACAAATGTCTTGTGTAGAAAAATCGGGATTCAGACTAGTAATCTCTTCTCGTTGACTTCAATGTTTAATCCATGCCATTCCCTTTTTCAACACGAAGGGCCTAACAATACACGTTGCAATCATCTGATGATTTGTTTAGTTCATGTCTGTTTGCTTTCTGGTCTTACCGACCTAAATTCATGAATATTCCTGGCGGAAGATGTACATTCACACACACTTCTTCGATTCTAGGCCAAAAAGTCAAGAAAAATTGTTATGCAAAAGGTGGATGATCTTACTGCCAAGGGAAAAACAAACAAACATCGCTGAACCGGCTTTGTAATGAACGAGACACCCAATGCACTATCTTACTATGCTCTGATTTTATAAATATCAGTATCTATCTTCTATACTAATATTTGTGACTGTCGTTTGTCTGTCTGTCTGTCTATTCGGGGTTGGCGGCTACACTAGGTCTGCCCTGAGTCTGAAATTTGGGGTATAGGGGTAGCTCGGACCGGGGAGTAACATA